TTCCCATTTAAACGATTTTCTGAAAATTCCAAATCCAAAGGGCGCTGAGTAATTTTTCAAGTTTCGACCAACATTGACATCCATGTCGCAATTAAAGGCAAACAAACCGTTTATTGAACGTGGTTATAATTCGAATGTTAATGGGGTTTTTCAGTTCAATGAAAATTCACATTTGAACGTGGAAATGGATGCAGTTCAAACGAATTTCACAGATCCATCGAACAAGAAGTGTTGGTTTTTGTTCGATTCCCAATAACACGTTGGTATCGAATTAGTGCTGCGTTCTGAATCTCACCAGCGAACAATAATTGCCGTATGCGGCATTTTCGACTCAAGAAGAGTGATTTTCCTATAAAATGCAGCAAAACAGATGTTTTGAAATTAAATTTTGAATCTGAACAATTGCCAATTTAAAATCGCCAAAGAATTCGCTTTGAAAACACTGAAACATTTACTAGCTCCTTTGATGCAAATCACTGGTTCTGATTGGTAATTCCATCCGGCAGTTGAAAAATTGTTTTGTGCGAAATTGCAGGCATTTCCAGCCGGATTTCGAAGGTCCACACGGGATCCGTGGAACTGCCGGCTGAATTTTTCCAGGAATCGACCGGCAAATTGGAAAATGATCCGGAAATTCGCACGGAAATTGGGCAAAACACAATGAAATCTCGAGTACCAGTCGGTTGCAGCCACTTTCTAAGCCTGATGGCATCAAGTTTGATTGTCGAACTTTCGGCCAACAACAACAACTCGCAGTAAACATTTCGTAACATAATAAATTGTTTGGAGTTTGCCTCAGTTGTTACATTCCGGAACAGTTCTGGATGTGTCTGGGAGAAAAATGTCCGGAAACTATGCTATTAAACATTGCTAAACGAGATGGCTTTTCTCTCTTAAATGCATCTTTGTTATGGAAATTTACAGAAATTGCCCAAGATCTCGAACTAACTCGGGTCTCCCGGATTTTCACAACTTTTGCAAGCTTGCGGTTTAGAACTGAAACTTTCGTATATTTTCCAAAATCGTATTATTCTCAGATCAATTACAGAACTCTCACAATGTTCTTCAGAGTCTTTTGCCATTTTGCAGGAAAATACTTGATTTATTGCAAGCACTGCACCAGCTTTTAGTGTACTTTTAGTAGATTCTGAAGATTAGGAAGCTGTTTTTGTGGTGTTTAATGGAGACAATCTTCTTTTATTAGTTACGGAAATATTCATTTAGTCCAATTTGCCTCAATTTTTAGTTAAATTTAAAAACTAATATTGTAAGTTGCATTGTTTCTATACAGGAAATTGTTCAGTAATCGTTGAGATACTATTTTCTGCCAAAAATGTTCGGTTATTGGCGCTTCTTCCATGCAAAGGTTGATATTGCGTTCTTTGCATCCCGTTTGAGGTATTTGCTTCAAAAATTCCCCACTTATAATGGTGAGAAGCTGGAAAGCTCAGTTTTGCCTCATTGAGTTTGATAAGTTTTCTTTTTCTTTTTCTACTTCCTCCTATGAATGGTTTTGTTTCAATTTTCGTTGGTTTTTGGAATTTTTTTTTCAGGAATTCGTCACTTGAGAATGAGGATACACTGAAAAATTCTCTCTGGTGGTAATTTCTAGAATCCGGAAGATCCTGATGAAATAAAGCAAAGTAAGATCGAAATTGCGTCCTTTCTTCCATTTCAAAGTATTGGATTCTTCAAAAATCAATCACTTAAAATGATTAAAGTCTAGACAGCACATTTTTGCGGCAATACGATTCGAAATCCACCAGAACGTTTTTTTAAGGCTTCCGTTCATAAACCTGCCATTTTTTCTCAATTTGTATGCTCTTGTTAAATTATCCAAATTAAGGTTGAAATTGCGTTTTCGATCGATCTGATTCTGCACATTTTATTCAAACGTTCACCACTTATAAGAGTGATAAGGAGGAAACGTGATTCTGGTGGAAATTTACAGAACAATCGGAACTTTAATAACTCTAGGGAAATGAATTTTGTCTTAACTTTTCAGATTATTGGCGCATTTTTACAATAAACTATGAAATTGCTTTTCCGCCCATCTCGCATGATTACAGTACTATAATAATAAGCTGGAAAACTATTTTTTGGGCCATTATGCTTCCAAATACTTTTTGTGAATTGCTTTTAAAACTTGTTTATTTTTGTTTTAAATTAAGATTGAAAGTGCATTTTTCAAATCGTTCATCACTCATAAGAATGGTAAAATATAAAAGCGAGTCAAGCAGCAATTTACAGATCAACCGCTACTTTAGTAACATTAGAGATTCGGATTTTAACTATTATTGGCTCATTTCTAAAGTAAACTCTTTTTTCCTTGCAATTCTCTTGAAAAATTATCTCGGTTGATTTAAAAATTCATGATTTACAATGGTGATAAACCATCAACTTTTTACGCCTAGAATTTCGAAATTCTTGCTTCATCACTCCTTATTAATGAGTCCTTCTCTTACGAATTCGTTGGTTTTTGACAAATTATTCAAATCAATAGTGAAACTACATTTTTGTTTCCGCTACATAAACATTCACCTCTTACATTGATAAAATAAAGCTCTTTCCAGCAATAATTTACAGAGAAAAAGTTGCTTTAGTAACTCTAGAAAGGTTGATTTTTTCCTAACTTTAAACAATGATTAGTTTTTATTCCGAATAAACTATAAACTTGCCTTACTTTTCATCTCGCTCTCTGTGCCTAATTGGAAAGTTTGTCATCTACAGTGGATATAAGACAGAAAGCTCATTTTTGCGCCAGCGAATTTAGAAAGTTTTGGCTTCTCTGGATGGTCTTTTGGTTAAAGTGTCGATGATTATTGACAAATTATTCAAAACAAAATTGAAATCCGTGAAGTTCGATATTAAACATTCACCACTTACAATACTGAAAAGTTAGAAAGCCCATTCTGTCGTTAATTTCCAGAAGAAATATTTCTGTGGCAATTTGCTTTAATTACGTTTGCATTAAAACTGTGCAATTTGAATTTCCATTTTCTTGCATCTCATTCCATACATTAGATCCAAAAATTGGCCTCATAGAATGGGGATAAGTGAATATGCTGCTGATTACCACGGAGATTTACAGAGTAAGCGTTATTTTAGTAGCTCTAGAGATGCGGATGTTCTCGAATTTTTTTTCCATTACGGGCACGTATTCCAAGAAGAGGTTGAATGGCATTTCCTTGTATCCCGCTCGATGTGTTTGATGCAAAAGTTCGTCACCTCCAATGGTGAAAACCGATAAATCTCGTTTTCATGCCATTGAATTTAGAAATACTTATTTACTAGTCTCCGTCTCATTTGATTTATTCTATTTAAAAGACGCCGTTTACAATGGTGATCAGCTAGAAATGTGATTCTAACAGCAACTTACAGAATAAACGTTAATTTAGCTAACGCATAAAGGCCGATTTTTTTGGCCTGTATAAAAGTTGGGGGTTTTTTGCATCTCGTGCATGTAATTGATGGAAAAATACGTCTTTCTAATGATTCAAAGTAGTAAAAATAAACTGGGAGCTCATTTTCATTTCATTGAGTTTGAAGAGCTTTGTTACATCAGCTTTAATAAATATAAATATTCTTGAATGTCAAAGAGTTTCGTTGGTTTTTGATTCGAGCCAAGATTGAAATTGCATTTTTCCGGGCAACTCATTCGAAATGTGTTTATCAAATATTTGTCACGTTAAATACTGAGAAACTACACGGCTTATTCTGATGCCGATTTTTAGAGCAAACGTTGCTTAATTAAATCAAATCGGGAAGTAAGAAGTGTTTTGCAAGATTTTGTCGAGTATTCTTACATTTCTAGATTTAAACAGTCTGAACTTACAATTCCTAAAGTCCAAAGGCTGGTTTTCACTGAATTTTGTAAAGAATGAGTTTATTTTAACAATCCTGCTTATGGTGATATTTCAGAGAATTTATTTTCAATTTTTTTCAACTTTTTCAAGAACACTGTTTTGAATTGCTGTTGATTAAAATATTTGCTCCAAATAAGAGCAGTAGTTCAGAAAACTGATTTTCCGGATTTTAGACCGATTTTCCAACTTTAAAGCCTGGCATTTTGCCTTTCAGATAAATCTGGGTGTGTTTTTCAAAAACTTTCCACTCAAAGATGCGTAGAGTAATACATCTGATTTTAATGCTATTTTAAACTTAAACTGTAGCTTTGTCACTCTTGCAAACAAATATCACATCAACCGCATCTTTTCTTTATTTCTGGAAGAAATTTTACGAGTTTTTGAACGCCCATAAAGAGCACATCAGTCATAACAGTGATAACTTAAAAGGCAGCATTTTACCGTTCTGTTTAAGAATTATTTGCTCTGTTGGCTTAGCAAAAGTTGATTTTGCCCTAACATTTTTTTGATATTTGTCTTATAATCGGTACATTTTTTGGTATGGTTTACGAAACTGACCATCCTTTGTAGTCAAAAAGTTGTTGTTTTTCGTCCGTTCGTCCGTTGATGAGTTCGACGACTTTTAATGCTTGACCATAGAGGTCAAGCACAGCGCGAATTTTTTTGTGCCTGACTTGGTGCAGATATTTTAGAACATTTTTCGTGGGTTTTTGTTCGAAAATTACTGAAAATGTTTATAAGCCAGAAGGTTTAAATTCACCTCATTTTCTAGGTACAATTAAATTTCATTAATCCTATTAGTGTCGATTTTCCATCAAAATTCCTCGATACCCGAACATTTTTCAAACCCAAATGTTCCTAATTACTAGCACTTGGAACCCAATTTTCGCAAATACGTTTCTTGGAATTATCGGGCAAACTTGCCGACTAATATTAATGTAAATGTCCTTCCAAGTCCCAGCAGGAACACATCTTGCGGATATCTCATCAATGCTGGAATGGCCATCGATTAATTGGAGCTGTACTTCGATTGTCACTCCATCAAACCTCCCCCCGGGGAACGATAACTTCGAGTCAACTCGTGCAATCAAGTGGTAGCGAAATGCAAATGGCAACAGTTTCCTTTTGTTGCAGGCTTTCTTCGCACGAAGTCTAGCAGCGACGCGAATGCAGCGGACAGCGGCAACTGGGGCATCAAGGACGTGACCGCCGCCCTTCGCTGGGTGAAAAACAATATTGCCGCCTTCGGCGGCGACCCTACAAGGGTCACTCTTGTTGGACACGACACTGGAGCTGCCATTGCCAATCTGCTTTTTCTTTCGCCTACTTCCAAAGGTAAGTTATCTTCATGGTCTTGTGCAATAAACTTGTGTTTAGTTTTCCAAATTGTCTCTGTGTTAGTGACTCTTCATATTTAAAGAAATATAGAAAATCCTCTTGAGTATACACTGCCATAGCTGTTAATGTAAAAATCAGTACAAAACGTTGTACAAAGCCAGTAAACTGGCAAACGCGGAAAGAAATATAAAGAGGATGAAATGGAACATCCTGGGAACGAGTGAGACCAGATGGACAGGAGAAGGATCTTGCGTTAGTATTGATACAGTTCTGCCAAAAAAATACACCAATCATCAATAACACCTGGTTCCCGCGACCAAAGAGGACATTTATATACCTGAAAGGCGCCCCAAGATCGGGATCTGTTGAAAGAAAACAAATAGATTATATAGCAATAACTAATAGACCCAAAAACAACGCCTCAACACAACAAACACTACGCCGCCCAGGATGCGACGTAGGCTCGTGTCATAACCTAGTGGCTATACCTTAAGAGTAAGGCTTCAAAGGCTCAAAAAATCAAGAAAGTACAGAAATAGCGCTTGGAGCAGTGCAARAGACGAGCAGAAAGCACCAAGAGAACACCGAAAACACATGAACAAAATTGGAACTCWTTGAGACGGAGCAGGAAACAATAGGATGGGAAGAGCCTGGAAGGTAGAAGCCCTGAACAATCGACGCTATTTGRAATTGACGGATTCCAAACGCGACAAAAATGTAAAGGAACAGTGGTTGAAAACAGTGCAGAAAAATCGMGGAGCTGCAACMGMAACATAAYGTTASMGAACTGCATGAAACAAATTTGAAAAAAGAGGGAGCTAGTTTATGCAAACCCAAACATCATGCTCTGCATGATTGAAAAGAACAACAATGACATAGAACTAGATTCAGTSAAAYGCAAAAAAAAATCACCWCAATACRAGATCTGGGTTTGAAGCCACTTTTTAWGTTTTTARCTTCCTTAAGAAATGTTCCACCTCTATTGTTCGAACTGGCTATTTGTAAGTTATCTAGTCGTCATTTCGTGCTCTCTTTTCTTCTTAAAGTTTTCGAGCTCTCGTTCCCTCCTGTTTGTATTCTTCCTTCGTTTGCACATTTGGTTCTTGTATAATTTTCTCTCCTCTCACTCCCTGTCCAACCATCCTTTCTTCTTCGTCCGAGGTTTGACTCAAATGATGTTTTTGGTTAATGTATGACGGCCTTTTGTAATGCMTGGCACCAGAGCAAGTTTCTAGCGTCTCCAGAGCATTCGCCAAGCTTKCCTGGTCTTCCRCAAATGCCTTTTTCTGCTTTGCCACACTTCTGAGCTGATATCCTTAGTTTGGCTGCARCAAGGAGGTGGTCACATACCTCGGAAACTTCTAACATCCAGAACATTKCCTGTCGTGCCTTGCATCCATTAACACATGGTCCACTTGGTTTCTTGYTTCCCCAACGATGGATATTCACGKTAGTTTGTGAATCTCCTGATGTTCAAAYATTGTTGACKTAATAARGAGGTTATGGGAGGATGCTAAATYCGTCCTGCAAACTGTGTCCTCCTATGGTTGGTCTAACGGCTCCCTSTCACAACTTTTGCATTAAAGTCTCGCCGTATTCGGGTCATATCCTGTTTTGGGATTGTGCTCAGCACTCGCTCCAGTAGGTCGTCAAATGGTCGTGGT